CATTGACTTTACGATAGTTTGTGCTGCATTTGTAAATGAAATAGGGATATGGGATAAAAGGTGTTAGAAATGTACTACGCTGGGCGAAATCATCAGAAAGGGAAGACACAAATGCTTTTCAAAAGCGTGTTTCTGAAATTGTTATCATGAAATATGAATGTGGAAATCGCCCTTCACGTCCAGTTAACAAGCACGGGAGTAATTCAAGGCGTTTTCAGTAGTTCCTAGGTTCTCTGATAAGGGCCATAACACGCGTATTGTATAAAGTAATCCATAACTGCATACCCAAAACCGTTGACTTTACGATATGTTAGTACTGCATTTAAACTGCTGGGCGAAATCATCAGAAAGGGAAGACACAAAGGCTTTTCAAAAGCGTGTTTCTGAAATTGTTATCATGAAATGTGAATGTGGAAATCGCCCTTCACGTCCAGTTAACAAGCACGGGAGTAAGTCAAGGCGTTTTCAGTAGTTCCTAGGCTCTCTGATAAGGGCCATAACACGCGTATTGTATAAAGTAATCCATGACTGCATACCCAAAACCATTGACTTTACGATATGTTAGTACTGCATTTAAACTGCGATAGGAACATATGGGGTAAAATGTGTTAGAAATGTATAACGCTGGGCGAAATGATCAGAAAGGGAAGACACAAAGGGTATTCGTTAACATTAACATTCCATTACCTGCATGACAACAACGGCTGTATTTTAAACTCAAGGATGTTTGAAGTGTCGTGGAATGCCATTGTTCTGAACAATATATACAAATGTAATCAGCTTTATTACCTCTTTCAACGATTTACATCATATTCATTGCTTTAACAGAAACTCTATACTTAATTCCTCTTTGGAAACTAGACCAATAAAAACTTAACCTTTTTATTTCAATACACGACCAAATTTGTAACGTTATATTGGTGTTGGCATCACTTTATACCACCAGAAATTGTTCCAGAAATGATCTACGGCAACAAACATTATCAATTAATTATTGATATAAACATTGGTACGTATGGTGCTCTGGGATGTTAATGGTGTCTGAATGACAACTACTGTTTATAACATTCAAATTCTGATATATTTCTTGTTGACGTAAGGACATTGGGGTAGCTTAGTGGTTAAAGCGTTCGCTTGTTTCGCTTAAGACCCGGGTTCGAATTCCCACATGGGTACAGTGTGTGAAGCCCATTTGGGTGTCCCACGCCGTGATATTGCTGGAATATTGCTAAACGCGGTGTAAAACCATGTTCACTCACTCTGGTTCACGTAGACAAACATTAAGTAATCATTTCGAAACACACCAAAAATGTTATTAAATCTGTACAACCGTCACTTAATATCATTCCAAATTGGTTAAGTTTTGCAATCGCATTACTGTTTTAATAGTAAATTGGGAATCACAATGCAACAAAATACAGCAATCTTTTTAAAAATGCATCTAAAATTGGTAACTATACCACAGGAATGAAAAACAATTTTCCATCGATCTGGTACAAGTAGCTATAGTAAACCATTTATCATGGAAATAACGTCTCCTAGCCTTCCATGATTTCGTAATCACGATATTGAGGATAGTTATGATCAATTACTTTACGTCCAATTGTGTAAAGATAGTAAAGGCGGCATTTGTGGCATTAAAGTTCGACTGCCGTTTCTATGGCAAATGGCTCTAACGGGCAGAGCGTGTGGTTTCGATTTCACATACATCCCATCGAGACGTGACTCTACCTTATGTCATTTTGTCGATGCTCATTTCAAATCAATATACACGGTATCAATCAAATCTGGAGCCTTTCATAGACGCAACTACATAGAAGAGATAGGAATCTGTCGCATACTACGATCGCTATGAAATATATTTCCGTGTACAAGCTCGATAAAGACTGGTTTAGCGTCTGTCTATTCAAGTGAAATATGGCTGACGTTTTAATGTGCATGTTTTATTTACCAAAACATGTCCGTTATAACGGCCATATGGTCAGAAGAAACATCTTATATTTCAAACAAACATGCAATCACCTCTTATCAACCTAATGCAGACATATACACGATCTGCCCTCGAAGACCTTGATTATGTTTAAATGTAGACACGGTCGACATCGGTAACATCGACCATAGACAAACTCATATCCGGTGTACTCAAAAAGAGAAACTCAGACGAATGGAACAGAAATCGGAAATAAACGAAATTGGATTGGAGTATACACTTAATTAAAGACAACGGTACCGGGATATGGAGTCCGTGAAGAGCGTCACCAGATTTTCTTGCACGACATGTGATTAAAACATGGACTTTATTACACGTAAATCGCACTCGCTAAGAGTGGGTGGTTTAATTACAACCGTCTTAGACTGAACTGATTGTAAGTGCATGTGTATGTGTATGGTTGTCGGTCTGGGAGGGAAGGCGCGGCGAGGTCTTCCGCCCTTAACATCGAGACTTTGTGGGCGATTAACATCCGTTCAATAACACCTGGCTGGTAAATGGCTGCTATTGACGCATGTACATTTCAGATATCTTGTCAATGACACAATGACTGTGCTTATTTATATGCACGGATTATCACTAGGCATTCCAAGAGTGTAGGATTGCTTTTTATGTGTTAATAACAATTTACCAGGTTGATGAATGATCATTCTAAATTGTAAATATGAAACATGGGATTTACCCCAGTGTTATAGCTCTTGATAGGTATAGTGTTGTATGGAAAAAACACTAGTGATGCCTACACTAGACGGTGTCGATCAAATTAAGTTGGGTTATGCATAGAAATTGGATATTTGTACTGATTGTTTATCTGGATAGGCAGAGTGCTGTTTTTAAATATATATCTTATTATAATAGATAATACTGCTGTTAGCTATGGAGGGTTGTAGGTAAACACATTTATTGTACTTGCAGTATAGGAATATATGACATGGATGTATAAGAGATAGTTTAACTATACATGGTATAGCTATGGTGTTAGAGAGTGCTGCGTATAAATATGGTATATGAAATTCTCAATAGATACTTCAATATTTTTTAAGAATTATAGAAAGCATAAATCATTTTGCCTCGCTACATTTATAAGCAGGATTTTATACCAGGGGTCAATTTGTTTAACTCAAATGAACAGCAATTTCGAAGGCATATTCGAAATTTCTAACGTATATCTTCATGTATTTTCTAATTCTATTTGCCAAAGTAGCAAGTGCGATATACACATGCTTTCATCACATTTTACAGTTGTCTGACGATATTGGGAAAACACGACGCATGACCAGGTACGTTCTACCTTTCCCGACAACGTTTGATTAAATAAATGTGAAGCTTCACATGATTAATATATCACATATCACTGAAAACAGCATTGTTTTACACCATGGGTGATATACCATTTATATTATGATTATATGGGTGTTCACTTGTCAACTATGGACATCTGTTGCGTGGTTACCGATACCAGGAATCATCAGCGTTAGTAGAGGTAACCGTTTCTTGCTTGAAAATTCGATGCCAGAATCTAAATATAACCATTTTCGCTGTGTTCTTAAGTCTTTCCAAACATTTTTTATTGTCTTGGCAAACTAAACTAAAAGTGGTCGATCTAGACACCTGTGAAGCGTTTAACGGTATTGATCAGCAGAAGCTGTTCAGTTGGCCGATATCCACGTCACTAGTTCAGCTCGATGTGCAATGCCAACGGCAGATCTTCGTGATATTTAAGCTTTCATAAAGCCATCTTAGGTTTTGCAATCTAGCGGAGGAACGTTGAATGTTCCAATGAATCTTTATCCAGTATCAACCTAAATAACATTTTACATAGAATTTAGCCCCTTTTTATACAACCATTTACCATTTCCAAAGAGGATAAATATTCTACCCTATTTTCTTCATATTCACCACGACGTATCAATTACAGGATGATCGGGAATAATTTGGAACTGCCATATTCTCACAGAGTGTATACTACCACTCGGCATTGCCCATTAGTGAATGCAAATTCAAGCGTTAGACATGTAGTGCTAGATAGGTTAACGATCGTCGTTGAAAGTCATGGAAAGGCTGGAAAATCCCACTCTCTTGCGTGTAAGTCATCTTATCAAGCCTTTTGCGTGTCAGCGACAGCAGAGGCGATCTCCCATATCGCCTATAAGGCATATCAAACCCAGATATTAATGAAATACGAACTAATACTCATCTTTATATTAAATATCGATACCTTGTCCATGCGAATGTAAATACGTCATAGATTTCAAGTCAGGTCTCTTCAGCCATAAACATTTCAAACCACTAAATCCTGAAATACGGACTCCCAATATGCTCTTAAAGGAATACTGGTTAGGAGGGGCTCTTCTGCGGTTGAGTGTAAGAGAGGGAAGTAATAACAATTATTCACCTCTTTGTGAGGGAGGAGATCTATTCGCTTTGAAATCCGAAACTTCTGACTTTTTCATTTGCACAGATTCGCGTTCAAGCAGCGAATTGCATGCGGTCGTAGATTCAACTGTTTGAAGTTGATGTTAATTCATGCCTAATTGGATTCTAATTCGAACAGTTCCTGTGCCAGAAAAGAACTGAAAATGACACTTTTGAACCTAATCGTTTTTATGCTTTATTCAAAATGTTTTCTGCGTGCAGATCACGAGCGCGTTAATTTAGTTACAAAACAAATGATGGGGTTGAAAGTTATTCTGTCGTCTTTGTTTTTATTGTTGATGATAAAAAGCAATGTTTTCAAAGCACTCGACGCTTGGAGAAGGTCGATCAACGTTCAAGCATGTTTTCTAAAGGTTAGCAAGCTGTGTCAACTGTAGTTAATACTATCACTCCTACCTTGCAACCTTTTCAACAAACGTTCAATAGAATCCCTGTATTGGACATGTTAGAGAAATCTTTATGTATCGACCTGCTTACCATCGCCGTGCTTGAAGTTTAAAAAGCAAGTCACCCACGATTACAATCACTATACAAATACCATAGATCAATAAAACACAGATGCCGTAAAACTCACCTGGAGAGAGAAAAGTTACTCCTCTTTTCGCTATTTCAAGTTGGAGTATCTCCGTGAAGAGTTCTGACAAAGCAGTAGATCCCTTGGTCTATTAACGATAAATCTAATCTGTCCGTCTGCTTTAGATTCACCCACATCGATCTATGCCCAGCACTGATGCCGACACTATTCAAGATGGGACATCACTTGCAATACTGGGTTCGAGGTTATTCCAGTCGTAGCCAATGAGCGACGCCGATACAAGGCTATTCACTGCGGGACCACCTCCTCTCGTGCTGGTGTCCGTCACGAACACATATCCTTGTCAAGCCCGTGGATGAAATCTGCTCAGGCCTGGAAACTGCCTTGGGAAACGTTAAGGGAGATCTTCTAGTTTAAGCGAGTCAACGGCGTTCTTGAAGGAAACATCGCCTCCGCTGTAATTGATCCTTGTGATGTCAAAACTGAAGGTGGAAAAAGAGATTCTGATTCACGTTATTTGACACCGTTCGATTCCGTGGGAAAATAATCAAATCATTTTACTGATAATTGTGTCATTGCCAACTTGCGATTGAGCCGATAACAGTTTGCCACTTAAAGTGATTCGGAAGCAAACACTATATCAGAGCATCCCTTTTTAACTTCCCCCAGTAACCACAAGATTCGGCGTCTGATGCAGGAGCTGTCCTTTACTTGTCAAACACATGACCGATCCGTCATCTTGTCCAACTTAGCTCAGATCAATACCATTCTTTATAATCGCAGTATGTTGATGTTCCGTCACGATTAAACGAACATTTACCCCATCAGCTGAAGGGGATATTTCGGGTTAAAGAATGGTCATGTTCATGCGGACTAGGAACAAACCAGAATAGAACTACACTTTTCTAATTTGTTGTCCAAGTGTATGGTCAAAAATCCGATTTTCCGTTTTGCAGTCAAGTAGTATCATATGATTTTTTGTTTGGTTGGTTGTTTTTTGGGTTTTTTTGTTTAACGGTGCACTCACCAATATTCTCGTTTTGTAATGGCTGCTTAAAAATAACCAGATAATCCAATGATTGATGTTTAAGAGCCGCGGTCCACGGTTTTGGATTACAGTGGTATACAATGCAGTCAAGGAACCCGACCACCTGATCCACAGGGCCACCTTTAACGAAGAAGTTCCTGGGGATCTGTTGCATCACAGAGTACAATCAAACGGATGAAGCAGGGAGACTGTCACATTTTCAAGGTACTATTATGAGAGCAAGTATTGTGTTTTTTTCTCTGAATGTGTATTATCTAACCAAATATATACATTTTATTAATCTATTCTCCCACGGGAATGGTTGTTCGACTTTCCAACGTTTACCATCGGCCTCTTATAAATAGAATCTTCATAAGGCACCTAGACAAGCAGAGGCCATCGTTCGATTCCGACGACATCATAAGCACTATAAAATTTGTGATGCATTTCTGAAAAACTACACCGATGAATGTAAAATAAGTAAAGATATAAAAGATTGTTTTTTGAAACAAGATTTCCAGAATTACAAACATTCGGAAGAAATTATTTCTTAATTAATGTTCTTTTTTAATATGAAATTTAGAGATAATGGAAGCGAAATCTGATTTTATTTGGCCATATTATATTTTCGCAAAATTGCTAATCATAGTTGACGTGCGTATACTTGTTAGAGTATCCAAGTATCCAAGGTTTCACGTCTCGCAGATCCCATGCATTATCAGTTTGAGCGAGTGAGTGAGTTCTACGCCGAGAGAGAGAGAGAGAGAGAGAGAGAGAGAGAGAGAGAGATAGAGATAGATAGAGAGAGAGAGAGAGAGAGAGAGAGATGGATAGAGAGAGATAGATAGATAGAGAGAGAGAGAGAGAGAGATGGATAGAGAGATAGATAGAGAGAGAGAGCAGACGGCAGATAGATAGAAAGAGCTACGGGGGGCAGACAGACATACAGTGAGAAGTCAGATATGGATTGGTCTTGAACACGACGTCAAAGTTCACACCTACTGTAAGCTGGGATGTGTAAGGTACCGGAATTCACTGTCCGACCCGCGATGGTACCGGAATCCTATTACCCTGTCTGTGGTGATTCCTGGTTTGGGTATGTTGTTGTGGGACTTTTCCACATTTGCAAGTTCACAGTATTACAGGAATACTTTTCATATGAATACTAGCTATATTACATCATAACGTTAACCACCATACGAGGGGCGGTGGGGTAACCTTGTGGTTAAAGCGTTCGCTCGTCACGCCGAAGACCCGGGTTCAATTCCCCACATGGCTACAATGTGTGATGTCCATTTCTGGTGTTCCCCGCTGTGATATTGCTGGAATATTGCTAAAAGCGGCGTAAATACAAACTCACTAACTAGGGTAGAAAGCTTAGGTTTAATCGGTACCTTACGTTACAAAATTGTTTTTATAACCAGCAATGTTAACTATGAATATCATAACACTGTATACAGAATGCAAAGTTCAGTTGGTACACGACTTACATTAACTTTATTTAAAAAAATGATACAATGCTAATAATACTAGTATTACTATATATACAGTATATTATGCTTTTACAATGTAAAAACACTTTTACGTGCAACAAAATGGAATATATCCATTCAAACGGTAAATAATACATTACATTGCAGAAACTCTTCTTGCAACGGAACTAAAAGAAATAATGGCAAGCGACTGCGATCATTAGGACACGTGGCTTTGCCGGACACTTTACGATGAGCTTGCCAGTACATCATTAAGCTAATGTATGACATGAATACTCAACATTCAGCAGGATGCTATTTTCATACGTCCCTTGATAAATCCTGAGCCCACCTGAGTGAAGACGCTTTCAATGGAGAAAGAAGGATTTGGCCTGTTCTGATAGTCAAAGTTACCGTTACTTAGTACATTAAGATAAAGAATGTCCCTGTTCCTTAGCGCTTGTAAATCATCGACATATTAGTACTAATGGTCGATGTGATTAATTCCAGACCAGCATCACATGAGGCCCGTCTGTAATGGCGAAAGAAGCCAAAGGAACACAGGTCTTTTTCCAAGACTGCTAGATGTCACGGAATGATGAATTTCTGGAGAATGTTTTTTTCCGGATTGACTCAGATGAAGAAGTGGATTTTTACCAATATTTTGTAATAGATCAATCAGGTTAGGATTTTCACCTTTTCCGAACACCTGGTATCATCATAATTTGACAGCGATCTATAAAAACAGTAATATTTCCATATGTTTTCAAGAAATCTCTGCTGAATTCAAAGACCATTGCCCAAATCTGACCATAACAAGAGCATATGCTTATGACTTACTCACTTAAAGGAACACAGGTCATTACTGAAAAAATTATTTTGTACAGAGGCCAGTGAAGATCCGGGTTAGAATTAGTCTTCAGCAGCCCATGCCAACGGGATGGGGTCGTCAAGGTCGCTGAATTGGGTACCACATGTCATCGTATCCCAGTTTCGTAGATCGATGCTCATGCTGTTGATCACTGGATTGTCTGGTCTAGACTCCGTTATTTACAGACCGCCGCCATAAGGTAGATTATTGACGAGTGCGGCGTTAAACAACTAACAAGCAAACAAAAACAAACATAATTGTCGGAAAAGACAATGTAGATCCACTTGCAAATGCGGAATATATAATTTGTTTTGTTTCACGCCGCACTCAGTAACGTTCGCGTTATATGGAGGAGGCCTGTGGATTAAGTGGTCAAAATGGCTGCAGTATACAGGCCAAACAAAATCACCAGTAGTGGAACCGTTGAAATAGCTCTTTGGCTTGGTGAGTGAGTGAGTGAGTATATGGTTTTACGACGCTTGTAGTAATGTTCCAGCAATATCACGGCAAGGGACACCACGACAAGGGCTTCACACATTGTATCCATGTCGGTAATCGAACCCGGGGCCTCGGCGTGACGAGCGAACGCTTTAACCACTAGGCTTCCCCACCGCCCCTTCGGCTTGGTATTATATCCATTTAGTAAACTTCCTGACAACTCAGCTAACAGCATCGGTGCCACGTCGTCTCGAAAACGTATCTCATTGTAATAGCATGATTGTCTCTCTATTGGCACAGTCAAATGTTAATGAACGAATGACCAAATGTCAGGCAGGTTCTTAGACAGAATCTCGCATTTAAAGATGCAGTTTTGAATTCTGTCCACCGAGAACAACAGTTTCTTAATGCCAGAGGTACGTCTTTGATTCTGTAATAGTCAGGGTTCCTAACGAAACAGAAGACACACACACATACACGCATATGCGCACGCACGCATGCACGCACGCAGGCACACACGCACACACGCTTACACTCACTACTGGTTTGTATACTAGCATATCATAAAGTGCTATATTTAAGATCCGGCTAAGAATTGGTCTTCAGCAACCCATGCTTGTCGTAAGATGCGACTAACGGGATCGGGTGGTGAGGCTTGCTGACTGGGTTGACACATGTCATCGTATCTCAGTTGCGTAGATCGATGCTCATGCTGTTGATCCCTGGATTGTCTGGCCCAGACCCGATTGTTTACAAACCGCTGCCATATAGCTTGAATGTTGCTGAGTGCGACGTAAAACTCACTCAGTTGTGTGTGTTGCTGCCATGTAAGTTCGCACTAGACCTTCGGCAACCTACGTTTGGAATCGGACCCGGGCGAATGCTGTCCGACCACTATTCTACACTAAGTAAGTGACTGGAATAGAAAAAGCAAGTTCGTTATATCACTTCGTTAGAAGCGTGTTGTTTAGTTCGTTTTAAAGCATGGTGCTCAGAGCATACATTGTAGATCTTAATATCTGTGCCAGAGAACAATCAGTCTCGATCGTCTTCCGGAATAATTGTCATTGGATTTTAAAGGACAAATAGTGATTAAACTTATATGACTAGATTAATGAAAACACGCTTGAGGATATATCCGAGAATCTGTTTAACCCAGTCTTGTGTTCCCTCGCTTGAAAACGAATGAAGCCTTGTGTGAATTCCATTCGGCATCTGTCCTTACGTTACTATTCACGGCTGTGTTAATCATATAGCTTTCAACGTCAAGCTTTAAATAACTGACACTAGAGTCAGTGATGTGAAAATGACCGTTATCTTATACTACTGTGTCCTTGACCTTGTTAGTGGAACGTTATTGTAATACCCATGGTGTATACACATTGTATCA